GGTGGGGTTGATGCGACAGAGCCAGAGTCCAATGCAACCCACATGTCAGCCACAGTATGGGGCCTGTGCGGTCCAGTCCAGTCCAGATGTCAAAGGGAGGGACTCATCTGGTCCAATCAACGTGTTGCAAGCAGCACATGCTAGACCCCAGGCTTGCTCTGCACATAGAGTGCAGGCTGGACCTGGTTGCTGCATCCAAGTCAGGGGGTCCGAAGTGTGGGCTGCAGGTTGCACCCCGCCAGACTGGCCCTGTACACTAGCTCTGGCACACCCAGCCAGCCTGAGGCCTGATCCAGACAAGCCGCAAAGCTGGCACATGGAGTTGGTAAGGGGCAGATGCCACACACAGAACAAGCCCCAGAGCATGGCTGGCTCACGTCACATGTCATGTGTGGGTTGGACACAATGCCTAAGGCCCTAATGGATTCAAAGCAGAAGTGGGCTGTGCTGTGGCTTCTTTAGTTTTGTGGGTTCCCCCACATGCCTCTACATGCTGATTGGTGATGGGGCCCCACTTGCAGTTCACAGTTTTTGCTTCCCTGCTGATCAGGAGCAGTTTTTAAATTTGGTGCTGCTTTTGCCTCCCCTCTACTGATTGGCTGAGGGGCCCTGGTGGCCTACTTGCTTGCTGCTGACTGGGTGGAGACACGAATACAGTACCAAGTTTAAAATTGCAGTTTCCCCTTCCCTGCCAATCAGGAGCAAGCCACCAGTGGGGTCACTTCACCAGTCAGTGGCAGTGGGCATGTGTGGGGGAAGCTGCAAGATTAAAGGAGTGGCAGCACAGCCCACTTCTGCTGTGAATCCAGTACAGCCCTATTAACACTGGACAGAGCATGGAGGGCTGGCCCCAATCCAGCCCACAGACCGGCACAGCTAACTTCATCCAGTCCATGGAGGAGCTCGACACCTCTTATCTACAAGATCTTGTTACTCATTCTTGACCTATATTAAGCAGACAGCCATCCCATATTGTCTATCATTCCTAGAATAACAATTGCCTATTGGAAATTAAAGACTGAAAAACACATTCACTCAAAGTATTCAGATTCAAACAGCTAACACCTTAGATCAGGGGTGGGCAATTATTTTGGCTAGCAGGCCATTTAACAAGCTTTGGAGAGCTGTCAAGGGCTATACACACAAAATCTTTCAGAAGATATCACTTTAACAAATTATAGATAAAAACAAACCATATACTAAAAATCAAATATCTACCAGAATATATTTCAATTTGAGTTAAAAAATAATTTTTGTTCTGATTTACATTCCTTCAAGTGTTGTACATAGAGGGGATTGCATAATAGCTCAAAATAGTCTTATTCTTGCATATTGTGTATGAGAAAGGATGGGAGTGTGTGGGGGGGAGCTGCCTACATGCTAGGTCCTGGGAGCCAGCTGGGGATATGGGGAGAGGGGGTGCAGAAGGCACATGCGGCAGGACTCGCCCAGGTAGTTTAGTGCACATACACACCATCCTCTTCCCAGCCCCAGCCAGTGTGCACAGCTTCCCAGCAAGGCTGCTGCCATTGCTGCTGCAGCTGCAGCTACCCAGGTACTGCTTGGTCCCCCTACCTCCAGCAGTGGGTCCTCCTTTTTCTCATGCCCCTTCTGTGCCACTTCAGGTGGGAGGGGGATGCGATGGGATGGGGGGTGGGCAGGCAGCTCCTACCCCAGCACACATGGGGCTCAAGCTCCAAGCTGCCTTCCACCCACTTGGCTGCCCATAGGTGGCTGCTCATTGCACCGGGAAGCTGTGCATACTGGCCAGGGCCAGGGTGGTGCAGTCAGTGGGCGCAGACCAGGTGTGGACAGGAGCACAACACAGGCTGCCCTGGGCAGGGCTCAGCCCCATGCGAAGCACTGGGGGGGGTAGCTGCAGGCTGAATACAAAATCACTTGGGGGGCCAGATCTGGCCTATGGGCATATTTTGCCCACTCCTGTCTTAGAATTCACACCACCTCTTTTTAGATGTCAAAAGCTAGTCTGTTAAAAGAACTGCTTTTTCCAAACCTTTATTGCTTGGCTAGACTGGTAAATAGACATTATAATTTGTCCTTGGTGCTCTGGCAATCTACTTCACAAACAAACAGACTTAATTGCCTGGTTTCTACTTGCTATTCTGTAGCACACTACTGGGCAAGTATTTCCTAGACATCTAAATATTACTTGAAATGTGAATGGAGTGATAGTTAGCTGTATTCGTCTGAAGTCAGACAGAAGGCAGGATAGACATCCAGACTAAGTGAAGCACAGATGCATAAATTTTGGTGAGACAGCTCATTTCATGTACTTCTTCACAGTCAGGGTATCCGGACTGTGGAATAAGCTCCCACCAGAGGTGGTGCAATCACCTAACCTGGAAATCTTCAAGAGGAGACTGGACAGTCACCTTGCTGGGGTCACCTGACCACCAGTTATCTTTCCTGCTTGGTGCAGGGGGCTGGACCCAATGACGTTCTGAGGTCCCTTCTCACCTTACAATCTATGAATCTATGTGGGTGAGGGTGAAGGTCACACCACATCTGTAAAGATGTTCTTGTTCACAAAAGCTTACGTATCTCTGATTCACTTAGTACAGGGGTGGGCAATTATTTTGGGCAGAGGGCCGCTTACTGAGTTTTGGCAAGCCATCAAGGGCCACATGACAGGCAGCCCAGGGCAGATTAATATTAATTTTCTTAATTTTTTAGGGGCCCTGCAGGCCTGACAGAATGGCCTGGTGGGTCGCATCCGGCCCCCAGGCCACATTTTGCCCACCCCTGACTTAGTACGTAAGGTGGATCTCTACCTTGTCTTCCACTTGAACTGTAAACACACACACTTTTAGTAAGACACAACCAAATTACCAACTCAATAAAAATTCTGCTGTTTAGAGAAGCAGTGTTTAGCAAAATGCATTAAAAAGATAGTTTACCTACAACAAAAGGATACTGTTTACTGGCACATTCCAATCTAAATTGTTTAACTTGCTATTTTAACTCAAAGTGTTCTAAGGCCAGAGAGCTACAGAACTCATTTATTCAAAAGATTCTTTCAATCCAATAAAGAAAAAGTATATATGAGAATGTCTTCCTGAAATTCATGTGATTACAGCTGGCACAATGGCAAGAAATTGCTTATTTATGTTACTGTCACACCCTCTTTTCCCCATGTACCACCTTGTTCATTTTTCCTGCTTATATTTTGTCATAATCCCAAAACAAGCTGTTCGGGGCAGGAAATATCCTTGTATATCATGTCTGTTCATTTTTTTAGAAAAATGAGGACTGATTAGAGTTAGTAGTTCTACTAATATAAACAAGTTATAAGAATTCTGCACAGCTAAAAAAGGACATTTACTATTCGCACAGATCATTTATCAGTCTAGTCAAGCAAACAATTGATACACCCTCTCACCCATAGAGGGGCGAGTTGTTTTGTTTTGTTTTAAAGAAACAAACCAAAAAACCAAACAACCTCCAATAAGAGATTTCTGTTGCCTCTATTACCAATTACTTAAATCTAAGATAGAGCTTGACCAGTTTATGTTAGGGATTATATATTGTAGTTTCTTATACAGGACCAATAGGTCCCTTCTAACTGCAGTCCAACTGGCTTATACCCACTTATTCTCAGGTCACGGCCCTTTAACTAGCTCTTCTTCCTCCCATATGTATTTGCAGATCCCCCTTATCAGCCTTCATTTTACAAGGCTTAACAAGCCAAGCTCTTCAGCTCCTCTTTAAAAAAAAAAAAGGAAAAGCGGATCTCCACTCCCCAAACATTCTAGTAACCCTTTTCTGCATTTGTTCCAATTTAGTTAATATTTCTTGAAAGTTGGTGGACCAAAACTGTATGCAACATTCTAGGCGAGGGATCAGTTCTTTGTACAGTGGCATTCATAGTTCCCTATTCATCCCTTAAGTATCTTGTTCAATCCACTTTAGTATGGAATTTGCCCTTTTCACTAACATACCACAGGGATGGCTCTCAGTCGCCTTGTGTTAAGTCTAACACACATGGGTCTCTCATCTATCACTTGCAAAGGAAGAGCTTCCAATTTATGGTAGACTTTGGCAGTTCTGAGGCTTAAATCTAGGATTTTGTACTATTCAGTTTCATCCCATTTCTAATAATCCAATCCTCAAAATCATCCAGACCTTCCTGCATGAGTTGGATATTCCAACTATCCTCTGTGTTAACAGTGGCTCCCAACTCTGAGTCATTAGTATACTTCTTGTGTCACTGAAAAATACCAGTATTAAATGAGTTTGGGCCCAAAACCTCAAGAACTCCACTTGTAACATCTCTCAGCCTGCTAATTGCCTTATCTCACACAATATGTTATGCTTCCCCCTTTAGCCCATTTCTTACCTACATTATAATTCCTCTGTTAATCCCTGTTTGCTGTGGTACCATATCAAACTGTTTTACTGAAGTTCAGATAAAGAAAATACAGAAAATTTCATTCATCTAAAAAATATGGTTTCTTATGAAAATAACATATTTGGTTAGTCTGGCATGATCTACCTTTGAAACATTTTTATCCAATATTTAAATTGGTCTTCCTGTCTGTATTTTCCCCTTCAAAATTTGTTTTAAAGCTCTGATTATTACTGAGATATGACTAACAGACCTGCAACTGTCTAGATCTTTTTTCCCTTTTTAAAAATAGGTACTATATTTGCTGTTCTCCAATCGTGCAGCACCACCCACAACTTACTAGATGCATTAGGAGCCTTGTTACCAAACCATCAATTATGTGACAGTTCTTTCACATTCTCTGATGGAGATTATCTGGTACCACAACAGATGGCAGAAAGCTCCAAGTTTCCCTACCAACTCAGATATGGTAATTTTCATATCTACTCCTCTTTCCCTCTTAGAATGACTTATTTTTCCAGTAATTGGAGCAAATGAGTGCAATTACACACTTTGGCAGCAATATCATACACAAAAGAATGCCTTGATTATCACTATAAACATTTATTAGATACTAACTGTCCAGAAATAATACCTTCAATGATCATTTTGCCATTCTGCTGCAGGCTAAGTATTTGAATCTCTATATGATGTTTCATAACTCCAAGAAGATTTCCTGATCCTGTGGAACAAAAGATTGTTTTTAGACTAGTTGTGAAGCAGTCAGATGATCATGTGTAAAACTGGAGAGGAAAAAAAAAAACAAAAAAAAAAACACTAATGCTCAGGCATCACTGATTCTGAAGTCCTAGAATACACCAGCTGTTTGGGAAAATGTTTCATAACATTTCATTAACACCTTCATTTTATTAATATTCTGGTTAATTATATTTCACAAGCTACAGAATATACTGTAAGACCCTATGGGAGAATTATGGTGCTACTCTGTTGTCAGAATTGCTTAAATTCTGTGCAACTATTAGGTTAACAGGCATTTGCCTACTAAAATGCATCTGAAACAGAACCAGGATGATATCTATTTTTAAAAACTACTCTTAATATGTTGGAGACTTGTTTTCTTAGCAATCCTAAGAAAACAAGTCATTTCTTAGTTGGCTATATCTAATAGCATGACTGCAATTCATTTAGCCTCACCATAAAATCATAGGGGAATAAAAAGCCAGTGAAAAATTACTCTGGAGCCTGTTATGCCCCTTATTATGCCATGTTAAATCATATGTATAACCACTGGTTATAACAAATTGGACCTATAAGATGGTATCAGAACTAACGACCTGGCAAATCGGTGGTATGTCCACTGTAGACCACCAAATGCTGCCAGGTAGCAAGTGAAACTTCAATAACAAAAGTTACTATATGACTGCTGTCATCATTTTTACAAACTAGAGTTAGTTTGATTTATAAACCCTTAGTAAGCATTAACTAGAATGGCTTACTTGTATGTACAACTTTAATCCAAGGGTCTCATATATTTTCCCTATACTACCCTTCTCTCCATACTATGAAACATGACTTGTCCAATAAAAAAGCTCCAAACTGTGCTGCTCAGAGTAGCCCAGGAGGAACAATGACTCAGAATCACAGCCTTAGAGTAAGTTTCCCTGATGTTCTGGAGAGGAATTAAGTTACCCTAAGGCTATACATGGGACATAGCATGCTGCATGATGTGCAAGCGGAGCTACAGTGCCTGGATCAATGGGAGTTGAAGCCTGCATTCAGTCACAGCTCTACCTGGGTGAGGGGAAGCCCAGAGATTCGGCAGAGCTTGCTTCTCCTCCCATGATGGAAGTAGTCACAGGGAATTAGGGGCATCATCCCTGATAGGTTAGACCAGCACATGATTCTGTAAAGTTATGGTATAGTCAAGCAAACTGAGGCTCAGAGACACTTAATGATTTGTTTACAGCAATGCAGGTCTCTAGATCAATCTCAAAAAGATTTTAATAATTCATAGACATTTGTTGTAATCAATGTACCATACAGAACGAATGCTACATTGACTGATTATATCACACTCAGCAGAAGAAATGATGCACTATTAAAAGAAGTTTGTAGAGATCCAGTGATTTTAGTGAGTTACTGGAGACACAAAATGGGGAATTCTGAATGTGCAAGTCTCTGTTGTAATTACAAACAGCCACACTTGCTACCATGCTAGCTGCATTCCTACTCCCATTTCTCTGAACCACAGAATTAATCATCTTATACAAGGTATTATTCACAAATGGCTTGAGAAAGAATTGATCCAGTTTTCAAGTTAATACTATATACTGTATTTTCTTGAATAGCATACACCACCAAATAAAGACATGCACCTTGTTTTTGGAAAGGCAAAATGAAGAAACAAGATTTTCCCAGAGTTAGGTCCACACCAAGCAGAGATACAGCCTAAACTTTTGCTCACTCACGCCTCCCTTTCCTGACCAGGCAAAAGCTACTGTTGTAACTCTTTCACAGGTGAACTGTCAAGCAGCTCTTGACTGCTCTGCCAAAACCTGGAATTGTAGCTGCTGCTGGACTCTATGGGCAGATCTAGAACTTTTTAAAAGAGGTGAAAAACCACCTGCAAGGCTAAGAAATAAGGAGAGACCAAGAGTAGCTAACAGACAGTAGAATGGTCAGAGAAACAATTAAAAAGGAGAAAGGGTCATTAACACCTATGGAGTAAAGAGCCATTAGTAGAAATCAGGTATGTGATGACCTACAAAGTCAATTGACTCCATTAGTGCTGCCTGTATAGAAGTGACTGCTGCTGGTGGACATTTGGTTTTGAACTTTTTGTGGCACAACAATCAAAGCAGGATACAGAATTCTGCACCACTGTGCATCTCCTTTCCCCCACTTCCCCCCCATACACCAAATATGCCCCTGATGGATTCCACCTCTCCATCCAGGCAACTGCTGGAGGGAAGAGAAGGAAACACAACATCAGACACCTTACAGCATCTCCATGCTCATACTGTGGACAGAAAATTATCTTTTCCAATTAAGACACGCAACCCAATTTTGGAAGCCTATTTTGGGAGAAAGATGAGTATCATATATAAGAAAATACAGTACTCATTTCTACTTTAAAGGAAATACTACACACGTCTTAAACAAAAAGTTGACACCAATTTCCTGGGCTTACAGGATGCCTCTTTTGGGAATAGAGAAAAAGAGATACTGTCTTTTTTTGGACGCCAAGTTACCAATACACATTTTCATTCTACATGGCATCTTAACAGTTTTTGTCCAGGAGCTGCAATTATTATTAATAATGTTTAAAGAGTCATCCAGGAACTATAAAACAAGAAACCCAAACAGATCCATGTGATATTTTTAGTTATTTGAAACTATATGGCACCAAACTATATTGTACTCCGCAACTGGAGTACTGTGTCCAGTTCTGGGTGCTGCACTTCAACAAGGACACAGTAAAGCTTGAGAGAGCACACATAAGGGCCACCCGTATGATCAGAGACTTGCACGGCAAGCCATACGACAGAAAGGCTGAGGGATCTGGGATTCTTCAGGCTGAAAAAGAGAAGGCCAAGAGGGGACTTGGTAGCAGCTTACCGTTACATCAGGGTAGTACATCAAGGGCTTGGTGAACAACTCTTTACCAGGGCACCCCTGGGGAAAACCAGCAGTAATGGCTACAAACTCCTGGAAGACTATTTCAGGCTCAACACTAGGAAAAGCTTCTTCACAGTTAGAGAGTCCAGACTGTGAAATAAGCTCCCTCAAGAAGTGGTGCAATCGCCTGCCCTGGAAGTCTAAGGAGGAGACTGGACAGTCACCTTGCTGGGGTCACCAGACCCCAGCTGTCTTTCCTGCCTTGTGCAGGGAGCTGGACCCGATGATCTTCCAAGATCCCTTCCAGCTTCACAATCTATGAATCTATAAGGTTACACACAACTTTTGGACCAAATCCATCAGTGCATACTAACTCCTTGATGTACTGGGCAGTTAAGCTGGGTTCACAGCTGTTTTGCATTCCCATGGCAGCTGAAATAATCTGAAATGTGCACCTCTCTTGTCCTCTACGTGTGCACGTGAATATGCATGCAACACACACACTCCAGTTTTCCCCTTGGCCTTCCCTATAGGGCTGGTGCAAAAAGTATGTTATACATCTATTATAATGATTTCTGTAACTAAAAATGCATACCACAGCAGGAATATCAAACTTTCCTTTTGAAGCTCAGAATGAATGACCACTACCAGAAATTTTTTTTTTCCACACATCTCCCTGAGGTCACAAGCTTCCCTTAGTAAACAAAGTGGCTCCTAATGCTGCTATTTAATACAGAAAAGCATAGCTATTTGGCTCCCTCAATCTGTAACTTACTATCTGTGCCTCACTACTGAGGAATCCACCATCTGCCATAGTTTCAGATCAGTTAAGGCAATTCATGTTCAATCTTTTTTGCCTAGGAGATGCCTGGTAAATTTTTCAAGTCCAGCATATGATCTTTTGCAATGCCCGACTGAAACAGTTATTACTTATACTCTAGACTAGAGCTATTTATTTAAAAAAAGAATATCTCTTTCAGGAAATATAATAGGATCTGCTATAGCTAATCACAAAAACAGACTCAAATAATTCAGAACATTTTTAGAAATGAAAAAGACATCCAAAAACTTCATGAGTTTGGAAGAACACTGGGCTCTGAATTTAGATTTGATTATAAACAGAGTGGATAAAGAAAGCCTATAACTTGTAAAAAACAGGCAAATATGTTTTAATGAGATTTAATTTAAAAAACAAATGAGGAACTATGATGACTTCAAAAAGACCTCAAATTACTACAAATCAGTTATATTACTCTAAAATTTTAGCAGCAAAAGCTATATTATTTAGTCTTACTTTCCTTAAAGATCAAGTCACAGAACTGGTGGATGTCAATACCTAAGTACCTAGAATTTGCTGGACTGCTAAGCCAGCTTTTAACTGCAATGCACCTGCAGAAGAGGCTAGAAAAAAAATCCTCATTTCAGCCTATTTTATTAGTTGAACTCAATGATTAAGAACTAAAGACCAATTTAAAGAAGAAGTGACAGTGCAGGTCTGGGGCCAGGGTAGAGCCATGATCCACTCTTTGCACATCCCTGCAATGGTCACCAGTTCTGCAGGCACAGGCCCTGGCCCTGCCTACCCATCCCACTCTCAAACACCACTTCTTGGCCACCTGTGGCCACATCCCATCCACCCAGCCAAGCACACCCTGCCTGTGGGAGTCCCCAGCTGGTCTTTGTGGAGCCCTCACCCACCTGCTCTATCCACTACCCCCAGCAGTGAGTGCAAGGCAGATGGGTCCGAAGCTGGATAGGATCAATTGGCATCTCCCCACCAGGTGGTGTGAACAGCTGTGTTGGGAGGCCAAGGTTGGGTCACCATCACCCCCCACAGGCCCTCAACAGCTCACAAAAACTCCTTAAGCTGCCTTCCAGTCCAAATAACTGCCCACCGCTAGATTATAGGTACTGTGCCCTTTATCTGCATATCGTCATTGGTAGGCATGGGCAAGTGAGTGAAAAAACCTTTTGTTCTGTGATAACAATATGTTTTAACTGCTTTTATTTTGAATGCAAGAGGCCAGGAAAGTCAGATTTGTGTGCACTGGCCCTGCCTTCTAAAACTGTAAGGGGACTGATACTGTAAAAGAAAAGAAAATTGAGTAAATGTAGCTGAG